ATTATGGACCCCTGTGTCGGAGGGGGAGGTCATTAACATTAGACTTCCTATGTCTTCCGCCCTTGGATTGGACGGAATGACGGTTCGTCGTTGGTCTTCGGAGGTGCCTGCGATCCTGAAGGCCACCTTATTTAACATCTTTATGGCGACCGGAAAGATTCCGGAAAGATTTCGGCACTCCAGAACGGTGTTGATTCCTAAATCTTTGGAACTAATGGATCCATTATCATATCGGCCAATCTCTGTTTCGTCGGTTGTTGTTCGAAATTAAAATCAATCATTTCGAGTTCAGAAATCGCATAGCGGAACTCGCATATTCTCGCTAATAAATATTCGAATATTTATTATATTTAAAATTAACGAGCGTCGAGAAAGTTCTCGAAATCTTTGTTTATCGAGAAAAAACTCGAACACTCGAGCTATCCCATTTTTTTCCGTCAGAAAAAGACGCTCGTTATTGCCGCGGACAATAACATTGTCAACCGCCGTTAAGATTTGCGCCGTTCATGGGCATGCGCGCCCATGCGTCACGATCAGCTGATCACCAATCAGCTGATCTTAAAAGATTGCGCGCATGAAAAATGAATTGTTTATGACATGAGACGTCATTATCGGCCAATGACACACGTTGCAATCGTGTCACCGCTAAAATCTTAAATTAATTGGTCCACGTCGACGCGGGCCAAAAATTCCGAGCGCCTTATAATGGGCGCCGCGCGTGGACCAGGGAAGTCTCGCACTTAACGCTGCTCGCAGTACGCTGTGAAAAAAACCGCTTAGAATAACCGCTCAGTTTAACCGCAAAATACGTCGACCGCTTTGTTTCTCGGACTTCTCTGTACGTTTTCTGGATCTGAAATTTTATGTTCAGTTTATTGTACTTTGTTGATTGTGGTGTACTAAATAAAACGCAAAAACCAAAAAAAGGGAATTACGTGTCGTGGCAAGCCTTTTATGTTCAATTATCTGTTCGCGGTCATCCATCTGCCGCGCCATCAAATTCTCGCGCTGCCGCAGCAATCCGCGCTCACTCGCGAACATTTCTGGTCCTTCGAGCCGGATATTTCCGCATCCGCAGTTTCGTGGGTGACGTGTCCAGTGCTGTGCAGTGCTGCAAGTCTCCTGAGACAGACAAACAGACAAGTGAACAATGAGTGCCGACCTGAAGGCCTTATTAGAGGCCCAGAACGACATCCACGGACGAATGTCTCGCTCCGTGGATAACCTCCGGAAGATGGGCGTCATCAACATCACCGCCGGTGCCGTCCACGCTCGTCTCACCATCCTCGACAACCTCTGGGCAAAATTCGAGGCTCAACACGAGCTCATACGAGCGACGCTGAAAGACAGATACATGGAGAGTGAGTACGCCAAAAGTGACTTCATAGATACCGCGGAATGTACGTACGTCTCACAGCGGAGCACGTTGAGCGACTACGCTGACAGGTTACGGGCCGAGTCAGCTGTCGCACCAAGGATGGAATCGAAGTCGGACTCTTCTCCTAAAACCGCGTTGCCGCGCATAAAATTGCCGCCGTTCTCAGGCGCCTATGAAGACTGGCCTTCCTTCCGGGACCTCTTTTTATCCCTCGTGGGAGAAAATCCATCGGTCTCGAACATTGAGCGGTTCCATTACCTTCGTTCCTGCGTGAAGGGATCTGCGGAGAAATTAATTCGGTCGTTAACGGTCACAAGCGAGAATTACGACCGCGCGTGGGCGATCTTGGCGAAACATTTCGAGAATAAAAAGGAGCTCATGCGCTCAAATTTCGCTACCTTTACCGCCGTCGGGAAGATGAAGTCCGAGTCCGCCGAAGAGCTAAGCCGGGTCCATCACGTCGTCACGGCCACCGTCAACGCGCAGGAGAACATCGGTAGACCCATCAACTCCCATGGAATGGATCTCCTCAATCATTTGGTAATCGAACTGTTCGATTCGCGAACGCGCCTCGAGTGGGAGTCCTCCACCAGCGATTCTCCCGATCCACCGAGTCACGAGGCACTCACTGACTTCATAAGTAAAAGAATTCTTACCTTGAACGCCGCCAAGCCCAAGATCGCCGTGAAGAGTGCCGGGGAAGCCTCTCGGACCGCGAAGACTCACTTCGCGAAAAACGTGCCCGACGCGTCCAAATGCGCCGCCTGCAAGGGCAAGCACACGCTCATGCAGTGCCCCGAGTTCAAATCCAAGTCCGCGAGCGAAAGGAAGTCCTTCGTTGAGGTCAGCGGACTCTGCTTCAATTGTCTCGGGAACCACACGATGGCACGGTGTCAATTAAAACGTGCTTCACGTGCAAGTTGCGGCACCACACGCTGTTGCACGACGCGTACGCCGCACCAACACCACAAGAAGCGAGCACTTTCTCCACGACACGCACTTCACTTGACAAACGGGCGACTCTTCTCGCCACAGCGCGCGTCACTCTGACCGACCGTCTGGGACGACCTCAGGATGTGCGAGCCCTGCTCGACCAGGGGTCCGAAGTGTCCCTCGTCTCAGAGGACTTGGCGCAGCGCCTCCGTCTGACGCGCACCCGCTCCTCGATCTCCATAGTTGGAATCGGGGGAGCATGTTCAGGATCCACACGAGGAAGGGTGACGCTCGCTCTCAAGTCAAGAGTGACCGGAGCCCCTCTCACCGTAGCGGCCTACGTCCTCCCACGGCTGTCGTCCTACCAGGGACCAGCAATCAAGGGCTCCACCACGTGGCCGCACATCCACGACCTCACTTTGGCGGATCCTCATTATCTCCAGCGAGATCCCATCCACCTTCTCCTCGGCGCTGATGCCTTCTCCGGGATCCTCCTCGAAGGTCTCCGAAAGGGTCGCAAGGACCAACCCATCGCGCAGAGGACTACGTTCGGGTGGATCTTATCGGGAGGCTGCGGAGTCGTGACGGCCAACGGCTCCCTCAGCTCTCTCCAGTGCACCGTAGACCGCGACCTGAACGCCCTAGTGCAGAGGTTCTGGGAGCAGGAACAGGAGCAGCCTGCCTCCGTCGTGCTCACGCCAGAGGAAGAGCAATGCGAAGAGATCTTCGCCCGCACGCATGAGCGCCTCGCCGACGGAAGGTACATGGTCCGTCTTCCGCTGGCTGGCCCTCTTCCACCTCTCGAACACACGCGGAAGTCCGCCGAGCGACTTCTCGCGGCAATGGAGCGACGCCGCTCCAGAGACGCCGGCTTCAACAAGCTCTATGGCAGCTTCATGGAGGAGTACTCGGACCTGCAACATATGACCCTGGTCAGAACACCGCTCATCAAGAAATCCGCGTGTTACTTACCACACCACGGAGTGCTCCGGACTTCCAGCACGACCACCAAGTTGAGAGTGGTCTTCAACGGATCTCAATGTACGCCTGCCGGAGACTCACTCAACAACGCATTGCTGGTCGGAGCCAATCTTCTGCCAACTCTCGCCGACGTCCTCCTGCGTTGGCGCTGGCACCGCTTCGCCTTCATCGCCGACATCGAGAAGATGTACCGGCAGATTCTGGTGCATCCCGACGATCGAGACCTGCAGCGGATCCTTTGGAGGCAAAACCGCACCGACGACGTCCAGGAGTATCGCCTCAACACGGTGACGTACGGACTGGCCTGTGCACCGTTCCTGGCGATCAGGACTCTCCGCCAATTAGCCGACGATGAGGAGCCGGCAAACCCAGCGGGAGCAGTTGCGTTGAGGCGCGACTGCTATGTCGACGATATCGTCACAGGCGCCAGCACCCTGTCCGAGGCGGTCGAGAAGCAGAGGCAGTTGCACCGACTCTGCACGGCGGGCGGGTTTCCCTTGGGGAAGTGGGCCTCAAATCACCAGAGGATCCTCGAGGAGATACCACGGGAGCATCAGCTCCAGCAGCCACACCACGACTGGGAGGACGAAGCGCACCCGACGCTTGGGCTACGGTGGCACCCCCGCAGCGACTCCTTCACATTCCGCCTCCAGCCTCGCACGACCGCCCCGCTGACTAAGAGACAGGCGTTGTCGGAGACGGCTCGGATATTCGATCCGTTGGGCTGATTAGCTCCAGTCACCGCTCGGGCCAAAAGCCTCATCCAGTCAGCCTGGATGAAACAGCTGGACTGGGACGCCCCACTGCCTTAATCAGATGAGACGTTGTGGAGACGTCTGCTTGAGGATCTTCCGCTGCTGGAACAGCTCCGGTTGCACCGATGGCTGAGGGCCGATGACCAACCTAAACGCGTTGAGCTCCACGGGTTCGCTGATGCGTCGGAACGAGGTTACGCCGCCGTTGTATACCTCCGCGTGATGAGCTCCCCCTCGACCACGATCAAGCTGCTTGCTGCAAAAAGCAAAGTCGCTCCAATTAAGCCTGTGTCTCTGCCGCGCTTGGAACTGTGCGCTGCAGTCTTAGTCACTAACCTGACATTTCATCTTCGCGAAGCCTTAGACTTGCTTTCAGCTCCAGTCACTCTATGGTCGGACTCCCGGGTCACTCTTCAGTGGATACAAGGACACGCCTCGAAGTGGAAGACATTCGTAGCCAACCGGGTGTCCCACATCCAGACGAAACTTCCGGAGGCACGATGGCGACACATCCCAGGGCGAGACAACCCCGCCGACTGCGCCTCTCGGGGGATTGAGCCCCGGGACCTGCTTAACCACTCCCTCTGGTGGACGGGACCCCCATGGCTCGACAAGGATCCAGCGTCCTGGCCACAGCACGACCACGCCGCACACGAAGTCGAGGTGCCGGAGACGAGAGCAATCGCCTCCCACTTGACGACCGCGGAGAAAGTCGAGCCAGAGATGCTTCTCAGGTTCTCCGAGCTCCATCGCCTCCTGAGGGTCACCGCCTGGTGTTGCCGATGGCGAGGCGCCACCTCAAGGCCGAAGGCTCACCCCAATCTCACGCCTGACGAGCTGGAAGAAGCCTTGCTCCTCTGGCTCCGCATGGTGCAAAATCTCCACTTCTCCAAGGAGATCGCAGCCCTGAAACAAAATAAGGAGTTAGTCAGGGGTCCACTATCGAAATTAACCCCCTTCCTCGACGATCATGGGATCATTCGAGTCGGGGGCCGACTGAAGCACGCTGTGCTCTCAGAAGACGAACGCCATCCGATGATCTTACCTCCAGAGTCGTGGATGACGCAACTCCTCGTCAAGGCACACCACAGACGAACGCTTCACGGCGGGGTTCAGCTCACCCTGGGACTGCTACGCCTGCGGTACTGGATTCCCCGAGGACGCTCCATCGTTAAAGGAATCATCCACCGATGCGCCACGTGTGTGAGATGGAAGGCCGCAGTACCTCAGCCCATGATGAGCAGCCTCCCGACAGCACGAGTCACGCCGGCACGTCCATTCCTGCGAACCGGTGTTGACTATGCCGGGCCGATTCTCATCCGGACCGGAAAAGGAAGAGGTCACAAGGCACACAAAGCGTTCATCGCCGTCTTCATCTGCTTCACCACCAAGGCGGTTCACTTGGAAGCCGCTTCGGACTACTCCACGGATGCGTTCCTCGCGGCATTCCGGCGCTTCACTTCCCGTCGGGGCTTGTGCAAGGAAGTCTACTCCGACTGCGGCACCAACTTCGTCGGAGCGGACCTAGAGCTGCGACGCCTGTTCCAGGCATCATCATCCAACGGCCGTCGCATCGCCCACGTTGCAGCGTCCGACGGGATCCGCTGGAGGTTCAATCCGCCGGCAGCACCTCACTTCGGCGGGCTTTGGGAGGCGGCGGTGAAATCTACGAAACACCATCTCCGAAGGGTCCTCGGAGACACGACCCTCACCTTCGAGGAGACGTCGACGCTCCTCGCTCAAGTGGAGGCGTGCCTCAACTCGCGTCCTCTCCAGGCGCTCTCGGACGATCACGACGACGTGACAGCACTGTCACCAGGGCATTTCCTGATCGGGGCCCCTCTGCTGGCAGTGCCTGAGCCCTCGCTGGCGGACGACAGCCTCAGTCTTCTGCCTCGCTGGAAGCTCCTCCAGCGGATGCGCGACCACTTTTGGGAGAGGTGGTCGCGGGAGTACATCAACTCCTTGGCTTCTCGACCGAAATGGCTGAAGGACTCAGTCAGTCCGGCCGTCGGCACCCTGTGCCTCGTACGGTCGGACACAACACCGCCGACCCGATGGCCACTCGCCCGGATCACCCGGCTGCATCCTGGGGACGACGGCGTGACACGCGTGGTCACTATACGCACCGCATCCTCGGAGCTTGTCCGGCCTCTCACCAAGATCGTCCTCCTGCCTGGAGCCGACACCGCAGCAGCAACGCACCCGGATTCGTGAGCGAAACGGAGCGCCGTGTTATTTTATTTTATTTTATTTTATTTTTTTTTCTCTCAAAAATTAACTTGTCCGTCCGCGGAAATGTTTATCACGGCCGGTGCCGTGCATTGTCCGACGACCGTACCGCGCACTTAACGTCTTTTTCACTTTTTTTCTCTACGATCACCGCATCAAATCTGCATCTTCATACCACTGCACTTCACTTGCGACCACTCACCACCATACACTCGCGAGACCGCTCACTAATTCACTTCGCTCATTGTTCATATGATTCACCGCCGCACACATTTCGCAATTACGCATTATGCGTTCTCGCGAAAGATCCGACTGATCGCAATAACACATCGTACGCTACGTCACTTTCACATTCCATTCATCAATCACTTCTCATCTCATAATTGGAGCAGCTTACGACACCTGTCCACGCTCTCACACACTCGGAGATTTCGTCACGTACTGACGAGGCGGGCGGGATGTTCGAAATTAAAATCAATCATTTCGAGTTCAGAAATCGCATAGCGGAACTCGCATATTCTCGCTAATAAATATTCGAATATTTATTATATTTAAAATTAACGAGCGTCGAGAAAGTTCTCGAAATCTTTGTTTATCGAGAAAAAACTCGAACACTCGAGCTATCTCATTTTTTTCCGTCAGAAAAAGACGCTCGTTATTGCCGCGGACAATAACATTGTCAACCGCCGTTAAGATTTGCGCCGCTCATGGGCATGCGCGCCCATGCGTCACGATCAGCTGATCTTAAAAGATTGCGCGCATGAAAAATAAATTGTTTATGACATGAGACGTCATTATCGGCCAATGACACACGTCGCAATCGTGTCACCGCTAAAATCTTAAATTAATTGGTCCACGTCGACGCGGGCCAAAAATTCCGAGCGCCTTATAATGGGCGCCGCGCGTGGACCAGGGAAGTCTCGCACTTAACGCTGCTCGCAGTACGCTGTGAAAAAAACCGCTTAGAATAACCGCTCAGTTTAACCGCAAAATACGTCGACCGCTTTGTTTCTCGGACTTCTCTGTACGTTTTCTGAATCTGAAATTTTATGTTCAGTTTATTGTACTTTGGTGATTGTGGTGTACTAAATAAAACGCAAAAACCAAAAAAAGGGAATTACGTGTCGTGGCAAGCCTTTTATGTTCAATTATCTGTTCGCGGTCATCCATCTGCCGCGCCATCAAATTCTCGCGCTGCCGCAGCAATCCGCGCTCACTCGTGAACAGTTGTGCTCCGGCATTTTCATAAAATATTAGCGCGAAGGATGGCTGAGTCCAGTCTTTTGGATATGAGGCAACGTGCATTTATTGCAGCGGATGGATGCGTGAAGAATGTCGCGATACTTTCGGCACTAATGTTTGATGCACGCATAAATCGGAGACAAGTTTATGTCCTTACCCTGGATGTTCGCAAGGCTTTTGATATCGTCAGTCATGACGCCATTTCCTATGTTTTACACAAGCATGGTGTGCCTCGGCGTATGGTTGAATATCTGACTGTCCTCTATCGGACAGCTGCGGTCAGGTTGCATGTGGATGGTGTCCTCTCGGAGGCGTTGTATCCTGGTCGAGGTGTCAGGCAGGGCGACTCCCTATCCCCGCTGTTATTCAACCTCGTTATGAACGAGATATTGGTCGAGATCCCCGACTATATAGGATACAGCATGCTTGGTCACAATATCAATGCGTTGGCATTTGCGGATGACCTGACCTTGATTGCGGCGACGAGGGAGGGTGCGCAGCAGTCCCTGGACAGGGTGATGATTGCGCTTTCGAGATTTGGCCTGGAGTTGGCGCCTGCTAAGTGCATTCTCGATGATTCCGGCTGGTAAGACCAAGAAAATGAAGGTGATCACTGAGCCCCAGTTTGGACTCGGCGGCCGTCTGATTCCGCAGTTGAATGTCCTTCAGACGTTTCGATATTTGGGTGTTTGTTTTGGAGAAGCTGGACCTGTCGTTCAGGAAGTGGAACTGTTGCCGTTACTGGAGAGGGTCACCGCGGCCCCGCTGAAGCCTCAGCAAAGGATGAAGATTCTGAGAACATATTTGCTACCTAGGTTCACCCACAGCCTGGTCCTGGAACGGACATCGTACGGTCTGCTCCGTAAGATGGATAGACAGGTGCGGGCGGCGGTTCGTCGCTAGCTGCGCCTTCCGGAAGATGTCCCTATGGCTTTTTTTCATTCTCCAGTCAGGCCTGGAGGGCTTGGCATTCGAAACGACCATCCCAAGGTTGACACTGTATAGAATGGAGCGATTGAGTGCGTCCCAGTACGAGGTGGCTCGTGCGGTGGGCTCCAGTGCCTGGGCCGTCAAAAAGAAGCGTTGGTGTGGGCTCTCGAGGCGGGATGGCGGCGACTGGCCTACAAAACTGTACTCGTCGGTGGACGGTTATGAATTGCGAGAGGCAGGGAAGGTTGCTGCATCTACACAGTGGCTGGATGACCCCATGGTCCACATTCCCTCCTCGGAATGGCTCAATCACATCAGGGTTTGGATAAATGCCTTGCCTACAAGGATTAGAATTACCCGTGGGTCCAGGCGTCTTATGGAGGATACGGCCTGTCGGGGAGGATGCGATGTGCGGGAGACGGCTGCCCATGCTATCCAGCAGTGTTTTAGAACACACGGAGGGCGTGTTATGAGGCACGATGCTGTGGCGGCTACGCTGGCGGCTGAACTGGGGAGAGGAGGATATACGGTCCATCGGGAGCGGTTATTTCGGACGCGTGAGGGTGCTCGGAAGCCGGACATTTTGGCGTCCAAAGGACAGCTGTTATAGATGTCCAGATTCTCTCAGGGGCCCGGCCGCTGTCTGATGGGCACGACAGGAAGCGCCAGTACTATGCTGGCAATGGCCAGATGCTTGGCCAGATTGCTTCTTTGTTGCAGGTTCCGGAGACTGGATTGAGTGTTTCAACGGCCACTCTAACATGGAGAGGAATTTGGGCAGACGAGTCGGCGACGACGTTGAGATCCATGGGAATTTCCAGCGCAATAATGCGGAGCATTACAACTAGGGTTCTCAGAGGATCGCACACGAACTTTACTAGGTTCAATCAAACAACACAAACAATGCGAGGTCGAGCAAACTTAAGGATGTCTGGATGGGGTCCACCACGATAATTATATTCATTTATATTGTATCCATGCAATGTGATTACATGTACAATATTATTGTATTAATGTGATCTTATGTATTTGTAAAACATGGAAAATAAATGTTAAATAGCCAAATGCCTCGTCATCTAATTAGTGACGCGCATGAATGGATTAACGAGATTCCCACTGTCCCTATCTACTCTCCCTCGACGTGCGCCACCTTGTCGTGGTGAGGGAGCCCGTCGGAGTGGAAGGGTCGCTAAGAGTGCACAGTACCCTCATTGAGGGGATACAACTGGAGCCCAGCGACTCCATTGTGACGAAGTCTGTGTCTACACGGACCAAGTCTCAATCGCTGGAAGGAGTTGGCGGCCCTGACTTCAATCGCCCGGCGGCACGGCGCCGTAGGAGGAGGTTTGCTCCCCGCCCATGACTTAGCGGGTGCTCCCGCGGGATGAGGGTGCCGAGCGGTGGGTGCTCCTACCGTGAGGCGTCCCTCAGTGGGGAAAAGTGGGAGCCGGTCGGGTCCCTCGCCCGAAGGACTGGATGGGTGACTCAGTCACCCGCCGGGCCAGAGGCGGGGATCAACCCGATCTCAGTGACTCCCACGTGTGAATGTGAGTGTGCGTGTTTGTGTGTGTGTATGTGTGTGTGTGTGAATAATCTTTTATTTTCAGGTACTTTCGGGCTCGGTTGTGCCGTCGGTGGCAACAGAATGCCCCTAAAAATGGCATTCTTTCCTTTACTTTCCTTTTCCTTTCCCTTTCCCTTTCTTTTCGGGGATCTGGTCGGAATACAGCCGAAAACTTCTCGACAACCGAAAATCGGACTCGTCTTGAGAAGCCGAAGACTTCTCGACAGTCGTGAATCGGACTTGTCTTGAGGAGCATCGACAACACTGCATAGCCACGAGTCGTGCCAGCTCTGCTGGCCAAATGGCTCTTATGTGGCATTAACAGAATGCCCCTAAAAACGGCATTCTTTCCCTTCGGGGACTCAGTCGGAACACAGCCGAAACTTTCTCGACAACCGAAAATCGGACTCGTCTTGAGGAGCCGAAGGCTTCTCGACAGCCGTGAATCGGACTTGTCTTGAGGAGCATTGGCAACGCTGCATAGCCACGAGTCGGTGCCAGCTCTGCTGGTCAAATGGCTCTTATGTGGCACTAACAGAATGCTCCTAAAAATGGCATTCTTTCCCTTATTCTTTTCCTTTTCCTTTTTCCTTTTCCCTTTGGGGACTTAGTCGGAACACAGCCGAAACTTTCTCGACAACCGAAAATCGGACTCGTCTTGAGGAGCCGAAGACTTCTCGACAGCCGAGAATCGGACTTGTCTTAAGGAGCATCGGCAACACTGCATAGCCACGAGTCGGTGTCAGCCCTGCTGGCCAAATGGCTCTTATGTGGCGATAAAAGAATGTCCCTAAAAACGGCATTCTTTCCCTTTCCCTTCCCTTGAGGACTTAGTCGGAACACAGCCGAAAACTTCTCGACAGCCGAAAATCGGACTCGTCTTGAGGAGAATCGGCTTTATCCTTCGAGATCTTTCGGGTTCGGTTGTGCCGTCGGTGGCTTTGTCGATAAGCGTCGTTAGGTCGTCGTTGTCGTCGCGGTCGCTTGCGTCGCGGTCGGTCTGCAGAAGTCTGAAGACTAAGGTGTAGGTACCGTGCTTAGGGTCTGCATGATCGCGTAGACGCAAAATGTCGCGGTCGCGAACGATCCGCCCCGGGATACCTGCTGTCCTCCCGGCGTATTTAGGCTTAGCGGCGTAAAGATGGCTCTACGTCGCTCAACCACCTCTTCCACCGTGCTCGTGGGACTAATATGGGTACAAACAAAAACAAAAATTCTGACGTGGTGAGGAGAAGTGCTCGCCTGGCCGACCGCTTTCGGTCTGGCGCGGCCGCTATTAGGGAAGCGCGGGGTGTCTCCGTCGTTGGGTCGCGGATCTGCGCGACTGCACGCTCGTTGACGGTCTCCGCCTCCTCGAGAGCGCCTCACGGAGCTGTGCGCGCGCGGACCCAACACCCAGCGCGCGGCGGTGCACAGCCCCAGGAACACGGTGTTCCCAACGTTAGAACCGCGTTAGTCCGTCACGAGGTAGCCGCGATTAGAACCGTGTCCGTCGTGTTAGAACGGTGCTCGATATCCGCGATTAGGTCCGCGTCGTCGTTAGCGATAGGGCGTAAATTAGGAACCGCCGATAGCGACAAACAGGCAGCGTGCGAATCGGATAGGCCTGTAATTAGTTCCGCGCCTAGACCAGCAAGTAATGCGAAAATGCGAGAGACTTTTAGATCCGCGGTCCCCACTCCACCCCACACAGCGAGTGGCTCGTTGCCACAAGAACTAGATAGAATAGGTTCACCGATTAGATTAGGTACGTCCACGGGTGTTAGAATGCTGCAGCTGAACATGCGACGTTCGGCTGTAGTAACGGGCGAGGTACGTCAACTCGTAGCCGAAAAGCGGCTTGACGTACTGTTATTGCAGGAACCGTATGTTAGGAAGTAAGGCTCGGGCTACGCTTTTGTAGGATTAGGAATAGGGATAAAGGTTGCCGCTGTGCGTTCGCAACGTCCGTGGGCAGCAGTGGCGATCTGTAATCCAAACTTTCAGATAGTTTTTGTTTCGCAGCTTAGCACCGCGCATTGTGCCTGTGTCGAAGTGCAGGCCCCCAGCTTCTCTTTCTTCGTCGTCTCGTGCTATTTTCAGTACAGCGACGAGATTTAGGAGCACCTCAGGCACCTCGAGATGGTGCTTCGTTCGTTGAGGGGGGATAGAGTCATCGTAGGCGTTGATGCGAATGCTAGGTCGTCACTCTGGGGCCGCCAAGAGACTGACGAAAGAGGTGCCAAATTCGAGGACCTCATTAGGGCTTTCGGTCTGTTAGTCGTTAACGATGCTGGACAGCCACCCATCTATTGGACGACAAGAGGTTCGTCATTCATTGACGTGACCTTGGCGTCGCGCTCCATGAACAATTTCATAGGTGATTGGAAGGTGAGGTGTGACTGGACTAGCAGCGATCATAGGGCAGTGGACATAAGGTTGAGGGTGCCCAAAGAATCAGGTGACGATCGGGGAACTGGGAACACGAGGTTCGATACAAATCGGGCCGACTGGGAACGGTTCTCTGAGACCCTGACAGATCTTTCAGGATCGCAACTAGAAGCCATCGATCTATGTTCCACAGTAGAAGTAGAAAAGATGGCTGAAACGCTCACAGTGGTGCTCACAGAGGCCTGTGTTGCGTCGATGCCTAGAAAGCGTAGGTTTAGGAAGTCCAACCCGTGGTGGACAAATAAACTCACTAAATTAAAGAATAACGTGTATAGGAAGCGTAGGGTTCTCCAGAGAAGGCGAGAGGAACCTGTTTGCCTTCGGGTATTGCAGTAGTATCGCTCGATGCAAAAGCATTACTGTAGGGAGGTAAAGCGGGCGAGGCTTGCAAGCTGGCGGAAGTTTGTCACATCGCACGGTAACCAGGAGCCCTGGGGCTTCGTTTACAAACAACAGGCGTGCAAACTCCAGGTTGAGGGGGTGCTTAGCACGCTCCGGTGTGGCGAATATTCCACAAAGACATTAAGGGAGACCGCCAGCTACTTCCCGCCAGCTGACGATCGGGGAACTGGGAACACAAGGTTCGATACAAATCGGGCCGACTGCGAACGATTCTCTGAGACCTTGACAGATCTTTCAGGATCGCAACTAGAAGCCATCGATCTATGTTCCACAGTAGAAATAGAAAAGATGGCAGAAACGCTCACAGTGGTGCTCACAGAGGCCTGTGTTGCGTCGATGCCTAGAAAGCGTAGGTTTAGGAAGTCCAACCCGTGGTGGACACAGAAATTAACAATAATAAAGAAAAATGTTTACAGGTTACATAAGGTTCTCCAGAGAGTGCGAGGGGAAGCTACCTACTCCGGGGTACTGCTCGAGTATCGTTCTTTATGAAGGCAGTACAGTAGGGAGGTAAGGCAGACGAAACTCGCGAGCTGGCGGAAGTTCGTCACATCGCACGGTAACCAGGAGCCCTGGGGCTTCGTTTACAAGCAACAGGCGAGCAAACTCCAGGTTGAGGGGGTGCTGAGCACACTCCGGTGTGGTGAATATTCCACGAAGTCATTAGGGGAGACCGCCAGCTACTTTCTGGACGCGCATATTCCCGATGACCGGGAGATAGAGGACACGCCTGAGCAGCATGAAATTAGAGTCACGTGTCCGAATGCAGCCGACGCTCCTCCTGTCACTGTGGAAGAAGTGGCTAACGTGGTTAGGTCGTTCAAAAATAAGAAAGCTCCGGGTCCTGATCTAATATAGGTTGCCGTTTTCAAGGCAGCCTGTAGTTTAATCCCCGTTCAAATAGCTAGGCCTTACAATGGGTGCCTCCAGTGGGGCGTCTTTCCTTCTGTCTGGAAGGAGGGCTCGCTATGAGTTCTTCTGAAGGGCGAAGACAAGGATGAGAGGGACCCAAAATCCTACAGACCCATTTGTCTCCTCTCCGTAGTAGGGAAACTTTTCGAGAAAATTCTTAAATCTCGGCTAATGGACATGTCACTGGCGCCGGATAAGGTCTCCCGTCGGCAGTTCGGGTTCATGCCGGGACGGTCGACGGAGGATGCTGTTGTTGAGTTGCGGCGAATGGTCTCTGTCTCTGAAAAGAGATACGCTGTTGCACTTCTCTTCGACATTTCCGGGGCTTTTGATAATGTCTGGTGGCCGCCCGTTTTAGATAGCTTGAAGAAACGCGACTGTCCGGGAAACGTATTCGAGGTGCTCCGGAGCTATTTCGACGACCGTAAAGTAAAAATCGCGCTTAGTTCCGCGGAGGTGTCCAAGCGAGCAACGAGGGGGGGCCCGCAGAGTTCTATTCTCGGTCCGGCTTGCTGGAACCTCATGTTTGATGGCCTACTAAAGATACTCGAAAAAACGATCGCGGATAGATTTGCCGTGTACGCGGACGACCTCGTGGTCGTCATAAGTGGAAACTCGCGTAGGGAACTTGAGGCGGAAGGCCAGCGTGTAGTTAACGAAATAACAGAATGGTGTAGGTTCGCGTAGCTTCAGATTTCCGAGCGTAAAACTGAAGCCATCATTCTGAAGTCTGACGCGATCGCGCGAAATCCGATAGGTAGACGGGGAGGAGCGCGACCGGATAGGAAGCGAAAGAACACGAAAAAAATCGTCGACTTCGGGGATAGGCCGTTAATTATTAAGATCGGTAACGCGAAGATATAATTTAAGGAAACGGTTAGGTATCTTGGCGTCCACATAGATAGGAATTTGAAAGTTAGATCCCATTGCGCGTATCTTAACAGCAAAGTCGGGTTGTTGTTCGCTAAGTTGAGTAGGATAGCCCGTGCCGATTGGGGCCTTCATTTTAGAACGTTATTTACGATATCCCGGGGTGTGTTCGCGCCGACAGTAGCATATGCCGCCGCAAAGTGGGCCGACTTATGTACGGAAAAAGATATTAGGACCCTAAAAGCGTTACAGCGTCACGTACTTATTTCGATGACCGGCGCATATCGTACAGCTTCGTGGGAATCGCTCTGCGTCGTCGGAGGAGTG